AATCTCCTCCTCCTCCTCCTCCTCCTCCTCCTCTTCTTCTTCCTCTTCTTCTTCTTCTTCTTCTGCCGTTGTTGGAAGCTTCCTCACGGAACACTAGCAGAGAGTTTGCGGGAAGTAATTTTTTTTAATCAACAAAAGGGGCTCACCATTTCCTCCTTTCTGTCTCGTTTCCCTTTCCAGGCACTTGCTGGTGAATCCCCGAGACCGGCGGGTTGTGGTCGTGGAGTCCGTGCTGTGCCCTTCCCATTTCAGAGAGACGCTCACCAGAGTTCTCTTCAAGTACTTTGAGGTATGCGCTTCAAGGCCCGTTTTTAGCCGACCTGCTTAACGATCGTCGGGGTTTCCTCGTCTTGCTCGAGGGAGAAGAGGTGGCTGGATCATTCACTCTATTCTAAAAGCAACAGAGAAGACTGGGTCGATAAGGAAAGATGCTTCACGCAAGCGCAGCAGGATCTGTAAAGCAATCCCTTCGGCCTAGGAGGAATGGGAGGGCAGCGATGCTGGACCAGAATGAGGCGGGTCCATCCACTCCAGCATCCTGTCTCTTCGCAACGGCCAGTCAGATGGCAAAGGGAAGCCCACCATTCAGGCGCAGAGGCGAAACAGCCCTCCCCTGCTTCCCTCTCCTAGAGAGCCAGTTTGGTGTAGTGGTCAGGAATGCTGACTGTAATCTGGACGAACCGGGTTTGATTCCCCCCCCACTCCTCCACATGCAGCGGCTGGTGTGACCTTGGGTCAGTCACAAGTTCTCTCAGAGCTGTTCTCTCAAGGGCAGTTCTCTCAGAGCCCTCTCAGCCCCACCTACCTCACAGGGTGTCTGTTGTGGGGAGGGGAAGGGAGAGGAGTTTGTAAGCCACTCTGAGACTCCTTTCGGTAGTGAACGGCGGAGTATAAATCCAATCTCTTCTTCTTCTGGATGACCTTGGCCAAGCCATAGTTCTGATAAGGGCTGTCCTTGAAAAAGAGCAGTTTCTGTCAGAGCTCTCTCAGCCCCGCATCCCTCACAGGGTGTCTGTTGTGGGGAGGGGAAGGGGAAGGAGTTTGTAAGCCGCTCTGAGACTCCTTCGGGTAGTGAAGGGTGGGGTATAAATCCACTCTCTTCTTCCCTCCCCCCACCTCCTCCGACAGTCAGAGGCATTTTGCCTTTAAATGCAGAGGTTCCATTCAGCTGTCATGGCTAATCGCCGACAATAGACCTATCCTCCACAAATCTGTCTGGCCCCCTTTTAAATCTGTTTCGTCCAATAGCTGCCTGACAATAGCTGACGTAATGCTTTACCCAGCATTAAATGTGTTACATCCAGTGGCTGTCATAGGGTGTGTGTGGAGCTCCCTTTCTCAGCGTTGATCTATTTCAGCCAATGGCCATCTGATGGTATGCACGGAGCTCCCTAATAATAACTAAAAATTAATAATTACATCTCTTTCAGCCGATGGCCGAGAGCAAGCTTGGTTTAGTGGTTAAGAGCAGAGGACTCTAATCTGGAGAACCGGGTTCGATTCGGTACTCCTCCACATGAAGCCAGTTGGGTGACCTTGGGTCAGTCACACCTAGTGGTGCCATAATGCTAAAAGAGTTGGAACTTAATGCTGCCAGACAATCTTAGGATCTCCTGGCTGTACTACACACAAAGCCGTACTACTACTACTACTACTACTACTGTCATTATTATTATTATTATTATTATTATTTATTAGCCAGTGGCCATCTACGGTCTATGTAGAGCTCCCTTTCTCAGCATTAATCTATTTTGGCCAGTGGCCGTCTGACAGAATACATGGCGCTCCCTTAGTCAACACTAACCCTATTTCAGCCAATGGCCATCTGATAGGATACATGGAGATTGCTTACTCAGCATGTTCCCCACCCATTTGACTAAAAGGCACAAACTGTGTACAAGCTGTTCACGGGCATCAGAGCCGTTTCAGCCACAGGAGTGCCAGGGCACAGAAACTATGCTCTTGGGTGCTTTGTGCCCTAAACGTAGAGAAGCAGTGGCAGTTGATTTTTCTGTGTGCTGTTTTACAGCTTCATTCAGAGAACCAGAGTGGTGTAGGGATGCCTAGAGCTGGGGTGTCAAACATGCGGCGCCTGGGCCGGATCAGGCCCTCGGAGGGCTGCAATCCGGCCTGCAAGGCCTTGCCTGTTTCCTGCTTCCTTTTCCAGTTCTGCTGCTGCTATGTTGCAGCTTGCTTTACCAGACTCTCAGTTGCACGGGAGAGATAGATAGGCAAGTTTACTCAGCAGGTTTCCTTTGTAGGAAGTTGTAGTTCTTTCTCTTGGGAAGACTATAGTTTTGTAGACAAACAAACAGCCCTCAGTCTGTGTCAGGATGCCTTTTCATGTTCTTGACCAGCATGTAATAAATGTCAATAAATCAAAAGTAGGTTTGCAGCTTACAGATACACACTCGAACAGTGTACTCAAGTTTGCAACAGCACAGACATTTTGATGCAGTCATTCAGAGCAAGAGGTGTCAGTTATCAGATACTGTTAAATAATCAAAATATTGCAAGAGTGCTAGTGTTTTAAGCATGTTTTATTTAAAGTTTTAAAAATCTTTAATTGTGTTTATCTGGGTCCTTTATAAAGTTTATATCTCCACTACCTGGCATTACATTTTATGACACACATGGCCCGGCCCAACAAGGTCTAATTTATGTCAGATCTGGCCCTCATAACAAATGAGTTTGACACCCCGGCCTAGAGGTTTACAGCTTATTTATTTATTTATTTTTCGCATTTATACCCCACCCTTCCCAATGGGCTCAGGGCGGCTAACAAGGGCAAGCTGCCATTGAAACATATTAGGTTGCCACACCACCTTGCCCACGTTCCAGACAACCCGCCTACCCCGAGTTTGGAGGCAAGGCGCTACAACTGCTGGACTTTACCCCCTGTGTCCCATGATACAGAGATGTATTCGTGCTTGCAAGAGTGTCCTGCTCTTTTGAGCCCCTGAACAAGGGTTTAAAGCAAAGTAGGGCTTAAGAACATCAGAAGAGCCCTGCTCGATCAGCCCAGTGGTCCATCTAGTCCAGCATCCTGTCTCTCACAGTGGCCAGCCAGTTCCTCTGGAGAGCCAACCACAGGGCAGAGAGGCTGAGGCCTTCATAAGACCATCAGAAGAGCCCTGCTGGATCAGACCAATGGTCCATGTAGTCCAGCATCCTGTCTCTCACAGTGGCCAGCCAGTTCCTCTGGAGAGCCAACCACAGGGCAGAGAGGCTGAGGCCTTCATAAGACCATCAGAAGAGCCCTGCTGGATCAGACCAATGGTCCATGTAGTCCAGCATCCTGTCTCTCACAGTGGCCAGCCAGTTCCTCTGGAGAGCCAACCACAGGGCAGAGAGGCTGAGGCCTTCATAAGACCATCAGAAGAGCCCTGCTGGATCAGACCAATGGTCCATGTAGTCCAGCATCCTGTCTCTCACAGTGGCCAGCCAGTTCCTCTGGAGAGCCAACCACAGGGCAGAGAGGCTGAGGCCTTCATAAGACCATCAGAAGAGCCCTGCTGGATCAGACCAATGGTCCATCTAGTCCAGCATCCTCTCTCACCTAGTGGCCAACCAGTTCCTCTGGAGGGCCAACAACAGGGCATAGAGGCTGAGGCCTTCATAAGAACGTCAGAAGAGCCCTGCTGGATCAGACCAGTGGTCCATCTAGTCCAGCATCCTGTCTCTCACAGTGGCCAACCAGTTCCTCTGGAGGGCCAACAACAGGGCACAGAGGCCAAGGCCTTCCCCTGATGCTGCCTCCTGGCTCTGGGATTCAGAGGCTTACTGCCTCTGAATGTGGAGGTTTCCCTCAGTCCCCATGGCTAGTAGCCATGGATAGACATCTCCTCCATGAGCCTATCAATGGGGTTTGTTGATTAGATTTCTCTTCGGGCTTCACTTGCAGGTGAGAGCGTGGGGGGCAGCTAGAGAGCCTCCCGGTATAGGAGGCCATGTTGGAGGAGACTCAGCCTATCGCAACTCTCTTCCTTCCAGGTCCCTTCCGTGCTCTTTGCTCCAAGCCATCTGATGTCGCTCCTGACCCTCGGGATTAATTCCGCCATGGTCCTGGATTGTGGATACACAGAAAGCCTGGTGCTGCCTGTATCCTTTGGCACGAATAAGTCAGAACGGAACGACAACTAACTGCACTGCATCCCCGGGAGAAAACCTGCCGGGTGTCAGGTTTTTGAAGAAGTTCTGATTTTAATTTTGTACGGTCTGGAGGGTCAGCCACGCACCCGCCTCCCAATTTTCTAGCGCCCTCTTTCGCCACGATACCTTTCCCAGCTTTTCCTTAAGTCCAATCCCCACCACCACCACCCATCAGACCAAGTAGAAATATATTTAATTGGATCCCTTCCAGTTTCGTGCCCTATGTACATTTCCTATATACGCATGATGTTACCTTATGCTGAAACAGACTCTCAGTCCATCGAGGTCAGTATTGCCTGCTCAGCTGAGTAAAATAAAATAAAAAAACATAAGAAGAGCTGAGCTGGATCAGACTAGTGATCCATCTAGTCCATCATTCTGTTTCACACAGTGGCCAGCTGGTTATTCTAGAGGGCCAGCAACAGGGCAGAGAGGCCGAGGCCTTCATAAGAACATTAGAAGAGCCCTGCTGGATCGGACCAGTAGTCCACCTAGTCCAGCATCCTGTCTCACACATTGGCCAACAAGTTCTTCCGGAGGGCCAACAACAGGGCACAGAGGTTGAGGCCTTCATTAGAACACAAGAAGAGCCCTGCTGGATCAGACCAGGGGTCCATCGAGCCCAGCATCCTGTCTCACATAGTGGCCAACCAGTTCCTCTGGAGAGCCAGCAACAGGGCAGAGAGGCCGAGGCCTTCATAAGAACATTAGAAGAGCCCTGCTGTATCAGACCAGTAGTCCACCTAGCCCAGCATCTTTTCTCACACGGTGGCCAACCAGTTCCTCTGGACGGCCAACAACAGGACACAGAGGCCAAGGCCTTCATAAGAACATGAGAAGAGTAATGTTCCCTCTAAGCTGTGGAGTCTTGTGAGCAAAAATTCTACTTTGTGAGCTACTGGCATTAAAGTTGTGAGCAAGCGATTTGGCTACTGCATAAACTAGTTTGCTTTGGAGCCATCCTTTCTGAGCTAAGACAAAAATGTGTGAGCCGGAGGCTAAAAAACTGTGAGCTAGCTCACACTAACTCATAGAGGGAACATTGGAGAAGACCCCTGCTGGTTCAGACCAGTAGTCCACCTAGCCCAGCATCCTGTGTCACTCACTGGCCAACCAGTTCCTCTGGACGGCCAGCAACAGGACACAGAGGCCAAGGACTTCATAAGAACATGAGAAGACCCCTGCTGGTTCGGACCAGTAGTCCATCTAGTCCCAGCATCCTGTCTCACACAGGGGCCAGCCAGTTCCTCTGGAGGGCCAACAACAGGGCAGAGAGGCCGAGGCCTTCATTAGAACTTCAGAAGAGCCCTGCTGGATCAGACCAGTGGTCCATCTAGTCCAGCATCCTGTCTCACACAGTGGCCAACCCAGCTGCTCTGGAGGTCCAACAAACGGCATAGGGGCCGAGACCTTCCCCCGATGTTGCCTCCTGGCACTGAGATTTAGAGGTTGACTGCCCTCTGAACGTGGACGCTCCCGTGACCAAAAACAAAAGCACTTTGAGAACTTTAAAAAGAAACCTATCCTGTCCGTTCAAGCTGACTGGCTTCCTTCTGTTAGATTTGCCCCTTGCAAAGTCAGTGCACGGTGCGATAGTCGTGCTTAGCTCTGCCCTTTCTGTAATGTAAGTTCTCTGAACCTTTGCCAATGTGACGTCCTGAGCTGCTCCCAGATCTACGAGGGAATCCCGGTTCTGAACTGCTGGGGTGCCCTTCCCTTGGGAGGAAAAGCCATTCACAAGTAAGTTCTTGTCCTGAATGCATCAACCAAGTCCGCTCCCAGTGCCCTGTGAAGTTTTAGGTGGGAGAACCAACCGTTTCACCATAACATGTCTTAAGTTCTGGGCCGCATCTGCTCTATGGGTGCATCCAGTGGGGTGACGGCTAGGAGTGTGCAAAAAAAAAAAAATCGGAAAAATTCGGATTCGGGTTTACTGGACCCGAATTTTTTCGGGAAACCCGAAAAAACCCGAATATCTATATCGGTAAAGCATAGATATCCGAAATTTTTGTTGGGGGGGGGGTTGAGATTGCTCTGGTTCTGCAGCTGGGCATGGCTGCCATTAGCAAACATGCTCCCCTATGTAGGCCGCTGCCACTGCAGAGGGGAGAGATTGTTTTGCTTTGGGGGTTTTTTGGGCACCGGCACATTGGCACACTTGTGGTGGACTGGTTCTGCTGCTGGGCCTGGCTGGCTACCATTGGCATTGGCGATGCACATACATGCTCCATCAGCCTGTGTGCTGCCACTCCAGTGCAGTCTGGAGAGATTCTCTGGTTTGACCTAGTTCTGGTTTGGGGGCACTGACTGGCATGGCAACCTGGCTGGCCTGGCACAGGTGGCAGATTGTCTTGTTCTTCTGTTGCAATGCTGGGGCCTGGCTGGCATGCACTTGCTTGCTCTTTCAGTCTGTGGGCTGCTGCTGCTGTCTGCAGAAATTCTCTGGTTTGCACCAAGTTGGTTTGGGCACTGATTGGTTGCACCTTGGCACAGGTTGTGGGGCGGGGGGCAGATTGCTCTGGTCCTGCTGCTGGGCCTGTCTGGCTGGCATTGGCAATGTACAGACATACTACCTCAGTGCTGCTGCTGTAGAGAGATTCTTTGGTTTGAGCCAAGTTGTGTTGGTTTTGGGGTTTTGGGCACCCAGTTTGGTAGCGCAGGTGGGGGGGCACTTGTATGGTTCTGCTGCAGTGTGGCTGGCTGGTCTGGCAATGTACAGTTTGAAATTGCAACACGCAGCACACTCCCCCAAACAGTTTGCCCCCATCCCTCCATTGTTCTCTATGGTGGGAAAAAATGTAATTTTTTTCCCACCATAGAGAACAATGGAGGGATGGGGGCAAACTGTTTGGGGGAGTGTGCTGCGTGTTGCAATTTCAAACTGTACATTGCCAGACCAGCCAGCCACACTGCAGCAGAACCATACAAGTGCCCCCCCACCTGCGCTACCAAACTGGGTGCCCAAAACCCCAAAACTACAACTTAGCTCAAACCAAAGAATCTCTCTACAGTAGCAGCAGCACTAGCATGTGCATTGTGCCAGACAGGCCCAGCAGAAGAAACAACCAGATATGTTGGGGAGAGGTTCCAGTAAGCACGCTCCAAGTTTGGAGCCTCTACCCCAAACCCCCTCCCCCCCAGCCCCCCACAAAGTTTCAAGAGGATTTTTGCCATTGACTTCAATGGCCCCATTGGTTATAATGGACCCGAATTTTTCGGGATTCCCGAATTTTTTCGGGATTTTTTTTTCGGGATTCGGACAAGCGCATAAATTGCTAATTCGGGATCCCAAAAGCCGAAAAAAGCCGAAAAACTTTATTTTCGGCTTTTTTTTTTGCTCGGGATCCCGAAATGCACATCCCTAGTGACGGCTAGAAAAGAAATGCCATTTTTTTGTTGTTGCTAAACCCGGGTTGCCGCATGACGGAGTGAGCTCCCGTCTCTAGGTCCAGCTCCTGCCAACCTAGCAGTTCGAAAGCAAGAAACTGCAAGTAGATAAATAGGTACCACTTTGGTGGGAAGGTAATAGCGTTCTGTGAGCCTTGGTGTTTAGTCATGCCGGCCACATAACCACGGAAACGTCTTCAGACAGCGCTGGCTCTTCGGCTTTGAAACGGAGATGAGCACCACAACCCTAGAGTCGGATTCGACTGGCTTTCGAGCAAGGGAACCTTTACCTTAAAATAGCTTTTAATGTTGTTGCGATCCTTTAGGGAGCTGGAGTACCAGCTGCTGGAGCAGAGCACCGTGGATACGGGAGCAACCAAGGGACAGAGCCTTCCCTCCGTGATGGGTAATGTGTGTCATGCGCCAGGAGGTCAACTTGGGGCGACTCTGTGAATGAATGATCTCCAAAACAGCCTATCCTTTTTTTTTTTCCAACACGTAACATAACAAACATACAAACAAAATTACACCTACCTCTACCCTATATACAACACAGCCTATCCTTAACAGCCGTGCCCGGGTCTTGCAAACCGAGGGCCTTTGTGGCTTCCTTGACTAAGTGAATCCATCTCCCATTGGGTCTTCCTCTTTTCCCGCTGCCTTCGGCTTTTAGAATCATGGAACCATCGTGTTGGAAGGGACCTCCAGGGTCATCTAGTCCAACCCCCTGCACAAGGCAGGGAATTCACAAATACCTCCCCCACAAAGACACCTGCAGTGACCGCTGTCCCATGTCCAGAAGATGACAAAGAAGAAGAAGAAGAGATTGGATTTATACCCCGCCCTTCACTTGGAGTCTCAGAGCGGCTTACAAACTCCTTTCCCTTCCCCTCCCCACAACAGACACCCTGTGAGGCGGGTGGGGCTGAGAGAGCTCTGACACAAACTGCTTTTTTTCAAGGACAGCTGTGCCAGAACTATGGCTTGCCCAAGGTCATCCAGCCAGGTGCAAGTGGAGGAGTGGGGAATCAAACCCGGTTCACCCAGATTAGAGTCCGCACACTTAACCACGACACCAAACTGGCTCCAGGATCTCCAGCCAAACCTCCAGGACGTCTGGCCAAATTGGCCTGGAGAAAAATGGCTTCCTGACCCCAAAGTGGCGATCGGCATTTCCCCGGGCGGGTAAGAAAGGGCCACGAGAACTAATCACTGAGGCAACCCTTCCTGCCCTCCCTTCTCGTGATCTTTCCGAGTTCACAGAATCAGCACTGCTGTCAGATGGCCATCTCTAGCCTCTCTTGGAAAACCTCCCAAGAAGGCTTCATCCAGAAGATTGTCTCCCAAGATTGTCTTTTCCAGGGACTCTTGCCTTCCCACAATGTGACCAAAGTACGATAACCCCAGTTTAGCCATCTTAGCTTCTAGGGAGCATTCAGCAGGGCTATTTTTGGGCAGGAATGGGCTATTTTTGGGTAGGAATGCACAGGAACGGAGTTCCGTCTGGCTCCCGAGTTGGCCACGCCCAGCAGGAACTCATTAGCATAATAGGCCACACCCAACAGCAGAAACGCATTCGGATTGGCTACAATTAGGGGTGTGTGGCCTAACATGCAAAAAGGCTCTGGGTTTTGACCACAAACAAGGTAAAGGGAATAAGAAGCAAAAGGTAGGTGTGGCTGGATGACCACACTTCTGGTAACATGGGGGTGTGGCCCGCTATGCGAATGAGCTGTACTGTCAGGGTGTGGCCTGATATGCTAATGAGTTCCTGCTGGGCTTTTTCTACAAAAAGAGCCCTGGCTCAGGCTTGACTTGAAGCAGAACTCACTGATCTGTCCACCGTGTCCGTAAAACTCTCCTCCAAAACCACATTTCAAATGAAACGGGCTTTGGAGGCCATCTAGCCCGACCCTCTGCTCCATGCAGGAAATCCAGTGTCCCAGAATCCCTGTCTCTGCTGGGAGATCTCCCGCAAGGCCAAGCCGACCCCCTCCAACACCTACTCCTAGGTAGCCGATCCCATTTTTCATTTATACCCTGCTTTTCTCCCCATTCTCCTCCATTTCATCCCAACAACCCTGTGAGGGAGGTTAGGGTGAAAGGGTACAACTGTCCCGAGGCTACCCAGCAGGCTTCCCTGGCACAAGTAGGGAATTTGAACCTGGGTCTCCCAGATACTAGTCCAACACTGTATGAGTCTGTTGTTGAGTAGCTCTTACTGTTAGGAAGCGTTATCAGCTGTTCGAACAAAACCAACCCTTCCTGTGAGATCAATTAGAACATAAGAAGAGCCCAGCCTCCTGTCTCACACATTGGCCCAATCAGTTCCTCTGGAGGGCCAACAACAGGGCAGAGAGGCCGAGGCCTTCACTAGAACATCAGAAGAGCCCTGCTGGATCAGACCAGTGGTCCATCCAGTCCAGCATCCTGTCTCACACAGGGGCCAGCCAGTTCCTCTGGAAGGTCAACAACAGGGCATAGAGGCCGCGGCCTTCACTAAAACATAAGAGGGCTGCTGGATCAGACCAGTGGTCCATCCAGTCCAGCATCCTGTCTCACACAGGGGCCAGCCAGTTCCTCTGGAAGGTCAACAACAGGGCATAGAGGCCGCGGCCTTCACTAAAACATAAGAGGCCTGCTGGATCAGACCAGTGAGGGTCCATCTAGTCCAGCATCCAGTCCCACACAGCGGCCAACCAGTTCCTCTGGAGGGCCAACAACAGGGCAGAGAGGCCGAGGCCTTCACTAGAACATCAGAAGAGCCCTGCTGGATCACATCAGTGATCCATCTATTCCAGCATCCTGTCTCACACAGGGGCCAGCCAGTTCCTCTGGAGGGCCAACCACAGTGCAGGGAGGCCGAGGCCTTCGCTAGAACATCAGAAGAGCCCTGCTGGATCACATCAGTGGTCCATCTAGTCCAGCATCCTGTCTCACACAGGGGCCAACCAGTTCCTCTGGAGGGCCAACCACAGGGCAGGGAGGCCGAGGCCTTCACTAGAACATCAGAAGAGCCCTGCTGGATCAGACCACTGATGGGTCCATCTAGTCCAGCATCCTGTCTCACACAGTGGCCAGCCAGTTCTTCTGGAGGTCGAACAACAGGGCATAGAGGTCAAAGCCTTCATTAGAACATCCGAAGAGCCCTGCTGGATCAAACCAGTGTTCCATCCAGTCTAGCATCCTGTCTCACACAGTGGCCAACCAGTTCCTCCGGAGAACCAACAACAGGGCATAGAGGCCAAAGCCTTCATAAGAGCGTCCAAGGAGCCCTGCTGGATCAGACCAGTGGTCCATCTAGTCCAGCGTCCTGCCTCACAGTGGCCAACCAGTTATTCTGGAGGTCCAACAATAGGACACAGAGACCAAGGCCTTCCCTTGATGTTGCCTTCTGGCTCTGGGGTTCAGAGGTTTAGTGAATAGTGAGTAGCCATTGATTTAGTGAATGGTGAGTAGCCATTGACAGATTTATCCTCCATGAATCTATTAATCCCCTTTGAAAGCTGCTTATTCCTGTGGCCATCACGACATCCTCTGGGAGTGAATTCCACATTTTAATCACTGTCTCCAAACCAATAAGAAATTAAAAGCACTGACATTACCCCCTTTTTCTCTCCCTCTTTTGAGAGCCAGTTTGGTGTAGTGGTTAAGTGCATGGACTCTGATCTGAGAGAACCGGGTTTGATTCCCCACTCCTCCACTTGCACCTGGCTGGATGACCTCAGGCAAGGCATAGTTCTGTCAGAGCTGTTGTCTCCAGGGCAGTTCTCGAGAGAGCTCTCTCAGCCCCACCCACCTCACAGGGGTGTCTGTTGTGGGGAGGGGAAGGGAAAGGAGTTTGTAAGCCGCTCTGAGACTCCGAGTGCAGGGCGGGGTATAAATCCAATCTCCTCCCCCTCCTCCTCCTTCCCTTTGCACATTGTGGTTCCCACCCCTTTTTTTTACGAAGCATTTTGCGGTTGTATCTGGGCTCAGCAGCCTCTGTGCTTGCTTTCCAAGCCACGATTGGAAACCCTGACCAAGCGTCGGTTGCAAACTCTGGTTTCCAACACAAGCATAAACTGCAGTTGGCCAGTTGAGGTGCAGCGGGGTAAGGAAGCGGTGCCCGGAAGCCTACACCTTGCTTGTGTAACGCTGAACGCTTGGTGTGGTGTTACACATGAGTGAGCGCTGCTGGGAGGCGGGGTGCACGTTAGCTCATGGTGTTTGTCCTAAATTCACAGACTGTTCCGGGTTTGGACTCTGTCTGTCTGGTCGATACCCATGCCAGATTTGTTGGGCTCAAACCGTTTCTTGTATTTCAGGCTCTGTTCCCGAAGACATAATCGAAGACATAAAAGGTATGAAGATTTCTTTTCTCATACAGTAGTTATATGCATTAGCTCGCGATAATATGTTCAGGGTTCCGGTTTAAACATTTTCCAGATTTTTGCCTGAACTGCATCGTTTGACATTCTGTGATGCAGGATGGCCTTTTTTGCTTTTTCATCTTGAGAAACCAGTTTCAGTCTTTGCACGTGGCCCTACATCAGAGTAGTGACAGTGCTCACGTGACAGTCCTTAAGCTGTTGTCCCACCCTGTACTATGGTCATGGATTCGTGTGCTCAGAGTCTCGTGATTCTTTGGGATGCGGGGGCGCTTCACCGAAAAATCTTTCAGCAAGGCAGCTGTGGCCCTCAGCAAGTCAACAGGAGGACAGCGTTCTGACACAGGGTGACGAGCGCAACCACAAAATGGCTGCTGCAGGAGGCGAAGCCAGCCACAAAATGGCACCACAGCGTCCCTTCAGTCTCACAGTGACGATGTCTGCGCTACAGTGGCAGCTGCTGCCAAAACAATATTCTTTTAAGAATCAGAATGACCGAGACGAGGTTCAGATTGGGAGACAGCATCTGCAATTTTGTCCATTATAAAAAATCCCCAAGTACCAATTTTCTGTAGTTGGCAAAGATGGGTTTTTTCAGTTCTAACGGTGGGACAATGAACACTTGAATGCTAAAGGGGTGGACGGCTAAACGACAGTCGATAATCGAAAGTTTTTCTCTCCATCTTGTGAAGTCCGCACCTGCTTCGTGAGCGACCTCCAGAGGGGACTGAAAATCCAGGCGGCAAAGTTTAACATGGAGGGCAGCGCCGAGGTAGGCGAGGGAATCTCCTGCATTTCCAATTTGGTAGCAGAAATTGGGTTCCTCGGGGTTTCTTTTTTAATTTGGGGGTCAGATCTCACGGATCCGTTCTGACCCAAGTCTCTTTCACCTTAGCGTCCAGCTTTTCCTCCGGATGTCGACTACCCGCTGGATGGAGAGAAGATCTTGCACGTGAACGGAGCCATCAGGTTAGGGAAGTCTTAATTTAATGTTGCAAAGCCATTCCCTCAACTTTGAGGGTATATTTAATGTATTTTATTGGATTTGTATCGCACCCTCTGAGAGCCAGTTTGGTGTCGTGGTTAGGAGCGGGGACTCTAATCCGGGAGAGCCGGGTTTGATTCCCCGCTCCTCCACGTGCAGCTGCTGGTGTGACCTTGGGTCAGTCACAAGTTCTCTCAGAGCTGTTCTCTCAAGGACAGTCCTGGAAAGAGCTCTCTCAGCCCCGCCTATAACCCAGGGTGTCTGTTGTGGGGAAGGGAAGGGAAAGGAGATTGTAAGTCGCTCTGAGACTCCTTCGGGTAGTGAAGGGCGGGGTATAAATCCAATCTCTTCTTCTTCTTCTTTTACCTCACAGGGTGTCTGTTGTGGGGAAGGGAAGGGAAAGGAGATTGTAAGTCGCTCTGAGACTCCTTCGGGTAGTGAAGGACTGGGATATAAATCCAATCTCTTCTGTTATCCTAGTTCAATCTCCAACACTAATGTGAGCCGGAGGCTAAGAAACTGAGAACTAGCTCACACTAACGCAGCTTAGAGGGAACACTGGTTCTTTGAGCCAGTTTGGTGTAGTGGTTAAGTGTGCAGACTCTAATCTGGGAGAACCGGGTTTGATTCCTCACTCCTCCACTTGCGCCTGCTGATGTGACCTTGGGTCAGTCACAAGCTCTGGCACAGCTGTCCTTGAAAAAGAGCAGTTTCTGTCAGAGCTCTCTCAGCCCCACCCACCTCACAGGGTGTCTGTTGTGGGGAGGGGAAGGGAAAGGAGTTTGTAAGCCGCTCTGAGACTCCAAGTGGAGGGCGGGGTATAAATCCAATCTCTTCTTCTTCTTCTTCTTCTTCCCTCAAGGGCAGTTCTCAAGAGAGCTCTCTCAGCCCCACCTGCCTCACAGGGTGTCTGTTGTGGGGAGGGGAAGGGAAAGGAGATTGTGAGCTGGCATGAGACTCCTTCAGGTACTGAAGGACTGGAGTATAAATCCAATCTCCTCCTCTTCTTCCTCCTAGCATAGCAGGTTCCATCAAATAGAATATACAAATAACAGTTAAAATACATCAGATAAAATTCAGTGCAATTCCGATATATCCAATCAGAGCCTCAACAGATGCGACCTATCACAAATTGGGGTTCTCCGATATTACTCAGATCTGACCCTGCAGTGGGGCGGGACGCCCGCCACCTCAACTAAACGCCTGGCGGAAGAGCTCCGTCTCGCAGGCCCTACAGAACTCTGAAAGGTCCTGCAGGGCCCTGATCTCATACAGGAGCTCATCCCACCAGGTAGGGGCCAGGGGCGGAAAAGCCCTGGCCCTAGTCGAGGCAAGACGGACATCCCTGGGGCCGGGGACCACCAGGAGATGCTGATCAGCAGACCGTAACGCTCTTCAGGGCTCATAAGGGAAGAGGCGGCCGTGTGGCACCGTAAAGAATAACAAATACGTTGCAACATCAGCTTTTGCTCCTCGAAGCCCACTTTGTCAGACGACCATAAGAACATAAGAGGAGCCAATGTTGGATCAGGCCAAAGGCCCATCCAGTCCAACATTCTGTGTCACACAGTGGCCAGAAATACCAGGTGCCATCAGGAGGTCCACCAGTGGGGCCAGGACACTAGAAGCCCTCCCACTGTTGCCCCCCAACCCAAGCACCAAGAATACAGAGCATCACTTGCCCCAGAGTCCCTATCTATACCTTGTGGCTAATAGCCACTGATGGACCTCTGCTCCATATGCTTATCTAATTCCCTTTTAAGGCCGTCCATGCTTGTAGCCGCCACCACCTCCTGTGGCAGTGAATTCCAAGTGTTAATCACTCTTTGGGTGAAGAAGTACTTCCTTTTATCCGTTCTAACCCGACCGCTCAGCAGTTTCATGGAGTGCCCAAGAGAGTTCTTGTATTGTGAGAAAGGGAGAAAAGGACCTCTTTCTCTACCTGCTCTGTCCCATGCATAATCTTATAAACCTCAATCATGTCTCCCCTCAGTCGTCGTTTCTCCAAGCTAAAGAGCCCTAAGCGCCTTAACCTTTCCTCATAGGGAAAGTGTTCCAACCGATCATCTTTCTGATCGGAGTGCTGCCCTATATCCCCGTGCGGGGGTTCCTCAGCCCTCTTTTTCTCTCTCGCCAACAGAGATTCCGTGGCCGAAATACTCTTTGAGCAGGACAACGAAGAGCAGTCCGCAGCCACCTTGATACTGGACTCGCTTCTGCAGGTACGGCAATCTGCAGGCCTGGGCATTCTGCTTCCCTTGAGCTTATCTGGCCGGAGGTATTCCTTCCGCTGAGACGCCGACAGGATCAGATTCCGCTTCTCCCCACCCTCTAAGAGACACCCCCCC